TGTCTTTGCTTTCGTGAAGGGTTAACATGGTTATGGTAATAATGTAGGCAGCAGCAGTAATAACGATTATGGATGATTACAATCATCTACTTAGTACACCAATTTTAACAATGGTTGGTTGGTTTTTGCTTAACGTCGCACTCAGCAAAAATCCAGCTATATGACGGCGGTCTGTAAATAATCGAGTCTGGAACAGACAATCCAGTGATTAATATCATGAGCATAGATCCACGCAATTGGGATCGATGACGTGCATCAAACAAGTCAGCGAGCCTGACCACCCGATCCCGTTAGTCGCCTCTTACGATAAGCATAGTCGCCTTTTCCGGCAAGCATGGGTTGCTGAAGACCTATTCTACCCCGGATCTTCACGGGTCAATTTGATCAATACCTAACACGCCTGTTGTCAAGTGTAATGGACCAAACCTTAGTTTCATATCTTGCATTACAACTAACTGTACCTATGGTATGTTGTATATTGTCGTACCAAATAACACTATTGATACCACAAAATGATTTTAGGTCGTACAGCTGTGTTTTCAGATTTTGGGCATTGATTCTATGATTGAGGTAAGTTACTAAAGTGTGGGACAACTATACATGTATATCAACTTGTCCTTGGCCCCGAAAGATTTTTACCACATGTTTGTCACTGTTTATACATACATCGTCTCAGAAAATAATCTTGGGTTAAATACTTGCTTGTGTTCAAATATTAGATACATGCTTCCTAAAAATCTCTACTATCAGAACTTTTGAAACATTCTATCCTTATCTATGCACTTAATGTTTACTTGCAACCCCTTACATGCGATAGTTGAAATGAACAAAGTTTAATTCTCATACATTTGTTACCTTATATACATCTCTAGTGGGTGAAAAAATACCTAGTTATTTACTGTATGGATTTATCTCTTGTTTTCTTTTTTGAATTATCGAATCTGTTTGGACCTTTTTGTAGTCCTTTTTTCGTTATGGAAAAAATACTGTAAGGCATATATAGTGATAGAGATAGGAAATTGTACATGTTTTCGTTATACATACATGTATACTGTTTGGTTAGTTGACTTAATAGTGTTTACGGGCGGTGGATAGCTCAGTGGTTAAAACGTTCGCTCATCATGTCGAATTCTCGCGTTCGATTCGAATAAAGTGTGTAGAGACCACTTCTGGTGTCCCTCAAATTATATTGCTGGACCAATGCTAAAAACATAGCATGCAAATTTATACTCACTCGTTTATAAACCAGTGGCGTGCCTGTTCCAGGCTCAACCATACTTACTCATGGTACTAAATCCAACTGTATCAGATGAGTCTTAACATCTGCTTGGTATTTATTCCCACACTAAACAGACCGATATATCTACAACAAAACCTTTAGAGTGTGTAAGGGTAAAGCGTTTAAACTTATTCCAACAATGTCACAGCAGGGGACACTAATCATTGTTCCCACGCAGAAACGACGGTCTTCATGACGAAGGAACGCTATAATTATTTGGATAATCTACAGCCCCTATATTTTTATTTCATATCTTATCAGGGAGAATATTTCTAAAAACAATACATATGGCCATATATATTTTTATTCGCCGATCAGCTATTTACGCAGCGACGATGATCTTCCAACCTAGTCGCTTTCTAAGTAAATACGCAGTGAACTTTGCAAACAATATTTGTTTTCGGCACATTTATGTAAACGACACCCACTTGACGCTGTACAGACAAATAATGTTGGACAAAAACGTTTACAGAATATCATTCTGCCCTATCAATCAATGAGACACGGTTCTAGATAGTGAAACTCAAAGGAAACGACAACACTGGCATGATATAGTTCATGCTATCCATCATGATAATGGTACATGGAAATATCGTGACTGTCCTGTTTTGTCTAACTTAATAAAAAACGATCATCTATGTAAAGACTGAAAATGATTATACCCAAGATACACTCTGTATCGAAGTTATGATATTGTTTCAATTCATATGGGGTAAAGAGAACGTTACGTATATTTTGGTTTACTTTGAAACTGCAGTTACTGTACATATCTAGTATGAAACGAAAATAACAAAATACCTCACTATAAGTATAACTTGTGTAGACATTACAACATTTGCTAGACAAATTTAATATTTGTCTAAATTTAAATTTGAAAATATTCACCTGAAGGCCGAAGGGTCGACTAGGCCTAAGGATCTCTAAACTTCTCTCGTTAAAATAAAACAAAGGAAAGGACTTTCGAGTTGAGTGCTTCTCAAAAGACACAATATGATAATTAAAAACTTGGTCACAATTATATCAACATTGCATTGATACATTTTTTGAACTGCAGTATTGATTATTGATGTGTTTTCTTGTTAAATACAACATTTTACCTACCATTTCTATACTGGTTACACCATACTGTATGAATAGAACATCACATAAAATAGATTAGCTTCTCACGACTTTAGAAAACGAGCACGCAGGGTCTCAACAGCATGGCTAGCCAAGCAATTAGTCTCGATCTAGGTGCCACAGTGATTGAAGTCAGACAGCCTTTTCACTTTTAGAGGCGCCGCAATTCGCTGTGCAGAGTCGCGTCCCTTGGAGACGTCAGAAATCGATGATTATGGCTTCGAATCCCGGTTCGCCCCGATTGAATTTCCCCGTTTCTGGTTTTATCAGTTTCACTAAAATGGTAAACATCTGAGACATGCATCACTTCGGGCTTTCCTCAATATCAAGCTGACACGCCGTGATATAACTGGATACTCTTCAAAGCGGCGTTAAACACAGCTCATTCACTCTTAGTCACAACGATTGAAAAACATGTTTCACGCCTTAATATTGCATGACTATTCCCCAAAGTGTTATATACCTTACCAACTGACAACTCAGTCGTGTTTATTTTTACTGTAAAATGTTTCTTGTTCTCATAAAGACACACACTTTTAAACGGTGTTAAACCGTTGTCACTTACTCACGCAAGCACGCACGCAAGCACGCACGCACGCGCATCTTTATAATGAATGGAAGTCATACTTCATGAACTGGACATTGCTCATGATACTATCTCTAGATTATCTGGTCGTGTGGTAGGAATATTGCTGAGTGTTGCGTTAGGCAACAAACAAACATTTTAACCCTTTTTCGCGAACACCTGGTGTCATCACTGGTCCATTCACATAATTTTCAGCGCTATTCAATCGTTTTCGCCAAATTGAATCTGATTTTGCAGATAATCGAGACTGATGATTCTCCGGCGTTTTTTGACTTGAGGTACTGAGATTATAGAAGATAGGGGTGTACCTGGGTCTATCTATTGAGACTCCAGATGATTCTCAGCAATCATGTTTATGAGTCCAAGGCATGGACTTATGGGCGATATATGTGTTCAAGAAGCCTGAAACCTATAATAGCTGAGGATTTCTCTGTTCAACCTCTTATACTGTGGTCTTTGAGCGTCATATGTAACATGCACATAACGATTTTGAATAGTTTTAATAAATAAAACGAGCAGACTCGGAATGTAAATTATTTCTCAATGTGCATGAGAAAATGACACACTATTTTGAGTGAGTAAGTATGGTTTTACGCCGCTTTTGGCAATATTCCAGTAATATTACGGCGGGGGACACCAGAAATGGGCTTCACACAATGTACACATGTCGGGAATCGAACCCGGGTCTTCGGCGTGACGAGCGAACGCTTTAACCACTAGGCTACCCGACCGCCCCCGCACTATTTTGAGACCGGAACCGTACTGTGTGCATACTGAACACATTTTACTCTATTTAACGAAACGGAAATAGTTTTACTCACTTATCTAAAACATCATTATATTGTTACTAATATCAATCATCCTAACATATGTAGAAAGTATATCACCAAATCATCATCCAGATAGATGAGATTCTCTCCACTGTAACTTACAATCCTGTGGGTCTCAACACGGCTTAGCCATGCACGACAGAAGCAATTAGTCTCGCTCTCTTTGTGCAGCAGAGACGTCGACATACTCAGACTCACGCACAAAACCTCCACGGAGTTTTAATACCCAGTGACCTACTCCGCCGTGCTGTGAGAGTGACAACTCCAGTTCACAACAGCGTAATGAGGACAGCGCATAACATAGATCAGGTCAGTTTCTGCTTTGTAAACTGACAGAAATATCCGCTTGCATCCCTGAACAATTTGGGTGCCTATTTTTAGTATCAGAAAATCTGCTTGGAGCTGCAAGGGTTTAAAACAAATCGATTTATCATCCGCTGGCTAACATAAAAGTAATCACAATGAAGTTTTTAAGTTTCAAGCATTTCTACGTAAACGGTTTTATTGTTTGTGAAATGGAAAGGCCCCTAGGTGTAAAGGCAATGAGGACAAAGAAACGAATGAAAGGTTGAATTCACAATTATGCTGTGCATGTTAGGCACTGAGATGACTTTTGAATTTGGGCCAGGTATGGTTGCAACATAAACAGGTTTGGAGGGTTTGGTTTGTCAATGGTCTTTTTTGTCCCACTGATAATGACAAATTGTAAAGTTAGGAAAACGTAGACAAGATTAAAGAACACTTGTATTTTGGGCAAAGTCACGGTTAAATGTACCCGCAAAATGTGTACCTGCGAACAAAATGTGCTTTAAACTTATCTTTATTGTTTTCAATGTCAGGCATAATTGAGAAGTTGTTCAAGTTTGGAAATAGGCGCTTATTAAAATCTAGGATATTCGTACAGATACTCATCAATACAATGCAAAAGTACTTCTTTTCAAACCCATGCAGGCAAACTAACTATTTGTACTATTATCATTTTATGCTCGGAATATCACTTCAGGTGAATGATTTGATCATGTTGAATTTAAAACATATGTTCGCAAAAGAAATCTCTAAACACGACCATTCCCTCATGTTAGACATAATAGACTTTTGGCAGCTTCCAGCAGGCTTAAATAAGTCTCTATCCTACGTTGTTATTCTTTCAATACATGGTCAAATATAAAAATACCCAGATCCTTACCTGCATCTTCCGCCGTTTTCACACATATTCGTCCCTTTATCGGGGTCGCAATATGGGCCATACTGGCACTCTTTTCCAAAGAATCCTTCGAAGCAATCACACCTATATTCCGAGTAGTTAAAGTTCGCGACACAGTTCCCGAGGTAGGAACATTCATGCACCGAGCAGGCATCCCTGCCCACCTTCTCCTCCAACCCAACAACCTCATAGGTTATGTTGAATCCATAAACATCCTGGAGGTAGTCCTCCACCCTCAGGTGGATGTTCCCGTTGTCACGGACGTTGAAGGTAATGACCACATATGGCTTATATGCTACCAAGGATGTGAATTCGTCCTCAAAGTTGATCTCTCCGAGGTTGTTCTTGCCAGTATATGATACTTCACTATGGTATTGATCATACTCGGACAGGTAGAATCCGCTCCTTAGAAAATACTGTGTGAAGTACAAGATGATTTTTCTCTCAGGTGGTGCTTGAATGACCCAGTGACATGAGATAGGTGTGGGGAACCTGTGGGGGAATTTAGGGGATTTTATGAATCCCCTCTCTTCTGTCAGGAAACCTCCGCAATCAGAGTACGAGAGATCAGTCACCACGATGTCAGAGAGAAAAATTAAGTAGATGTATACTCCGATTGTCTGCCCGAGGCTCTTCATTTGGCTCCAGGGAAGTGCTTCATGTCACCGCGAAGCTATAGCTGTGTGCGCCTCGTTCCACAGGCCTGATATAGTGAGTAACTGCAAGGGCAGCGAGACCTATCGTTGGCAAGTCTATAAGAAAGAAGATATAAGAATATAGACTCATACAACAGCCCGAGCCTACTATCGTCGTAATCATCACACATAGCGTGCTGCTGGTTAAACTATTGCATGGCCAAAATAGTATTAACACTTTCTCCGCGGAGAAGCTTCGGATCAATAAACACTAAAGCATTGGTGACACGGTGCCCTACACCGGCGGAGTGCCACTCGATACAGTCGGCCGATCTGGATATAATGCTTCCGATCCACCAGTGTGACGCGTCAATGAACTCAACCGTGGAGTAACTCTGAAGATTAATCTCTGTGTAGAATAAAGAAGGTTAACACAGCTCTAGGCTCCCAGTGTTGTCTGTGAACTGAACGCAATATAGCTACTCAACGGACCCGATAAATGAAAATCTAGTAAAATTTGGCTCCTTATCGTTGTACGCGATACCCACAGGGCAATATGATTAGAAATAAATTACGTAGGGTAATATATCGCCTTATACACCACACACTTGCTTACCGACATATGCATTACGCGATGATATCATTCTGGTCAGATGATTTGATTGTTTCGGTGTTATATTTAACAGTATAGCCCAAAACAAGGTTTTGAAGTTTAACTACCTTCATTTCGTGTATGATATCAGGTGAATTAGATCTCCTGTCTGTGCCAAACCAACTTCTTCTCACGCTCATCGTGTCAAAGCACGGATGTTTTAGCAAGCGGTACATACGTTTATTGTTAACCGCAAGATCAATTTCTGTTTTGGAAACGCGTACGTGGTATTCGGTTATATATTCATATATACTGAAGGAAACAAATAAGGGAATGTAAGCTGAACTACGCAACATATCGCGTTCAATGATCTTGTGAACCCAAATTCTCTAATCTGCACACATGTTTATCCCAGTTTCTAAGCAAATTTTACTGTATCTTTACCTTGAATCATAACCATAAATTACGTTGTAGAGTAGATGCTTCATATCAAGTGAGTGAGTGAGTATGGTTTTACGCCGCTTTTAGCAATATTCCAGCAATATCACGGCGGGGGACACCAGAAGTGGGCTTCACACATTGTACCCATGTCGGGAATCGAACCCGGGTCTTCGGCGTGACGAGCGAACGCTTTAACCACTAGGCTACCCGACCGCCCGCTTCATATCAAGAAAATGTCAGTATGTGTTGTGTCAATAGTATAACAAAGTTGCGCTCTTGGGTGTGAATTGACGCATTATAAATATGCACATTTATTATTTCTATCATCATCATCATCATCATCATCATCATCATCATCATCATCATCATTATCATCATCATCATCATTATCATTATCATCATCATCATCATCATCATCATCATCTGATTACCATTATCACATTATATGCACGAAGATAAACTAACTATTCCCTCCATGTCAGTGTATTTTAAGCATTGCACTCACTCTCTTAATTGTTTATATAGGTGAAACTAACTTCGGTCATACAACTACATTGATAGTTAAAAAAAAAGTTAAATAAATAATTATGAAGGCAAAAGTAACATCATGTTTTTACCTCTCATATTGTAACATTTGAACGTGTGGTGAACCTTTTCATTCCCTAAAAAAAGGGTGATGAAGACATATTTGAAACTAAAATAACATTTGACGTATGCTATACGGAAACGTATAAACACGTTATCCAGCTAATCTGCTGTCTCGTTTGCAGGGGCACAGGCGTCCCAGTCAGTCTAAGGTGTCGCAATTCGCTGTGCAGAGTTGCGTCCCTTGGGCACGCCAGAAACCTATGATTGTGGGTTCGAATCCCGGGTCGCCCCGATTATGTTTCTTGGTGTGTCAGCACCATACCCGTACTCGTAGGTTTCACTAAAGTGGTAAACGTCTGAGGCCTGCTTTCCTCCCACCTTAAACTAACATGCCGTGATGCAACTGAAATACTTTTTGAATCAGCATTAAACCCAACTCACCCACTCACTTAACGTTTGCAAGTGACCTGTTGTATACACAAGACGGCTGATGAACCTGCATGAAGTACATATCCTCCTAATTGTTGAATACATGACCAACCTCATAGATTTATCACAATTTATATTGTCCTAATTATTGTTATGTATAAACACACAAAACTCACGGTACTTTTGACCCTTTCATAACTTATACTTACTTATAGGTATTGTATTTACGTACGTCGAAGAAACCGTATTCTATTCCCCACATGGGTACAATCATTCGGGTCTCCTCGGCTTAATCCGCAACAACCATACAACATCGGGAAACAATGGCGCATATGTCTTACTGTAACCCTCACGCCGCCTATCGACGTTCTCTCTGCAACGAGTTCGTACAACATGACGGCCGAGTTTGGTTAACAGATAGTAGGTATACACTTTGATATCGAGCAACAGAGCGCTTTGTGTAATGTGAGACTCACGTGAACGTGTGAAACTAGCGAATCCAGTTTTAACATGGATTTCTCACAATACAGGCCGGGATGGCCTATGGGGTTGAACTAAAGGTGGTGCTATGTATGATTCCCATATTTAGCGTTTCCACACCACCCACATCCTATTATGTTGTCAGAATAATGCTAAAACTCCACTACTACTGCACTTCAATGACATGCCTATACATTATGTAATATACACGTATGGGGATGGTTCAAATTTAATGGGGGCACAAATCGTCTTTGCAGAGTTGCGTCCCTTAGGCGTACCAGAAACCTATGATCGTGGTTTTGAATCCCCTGATTATGTTTCTATGTATCGCAGCGCCATAACCGTGCTCGTGGTTTTCACCAAAATGGTAAATGTCTAGGACGTGCATCACTTCGGGCTTTCCTCCCATATCACCCTGACGCGCCGTGATATAACTGAACTACTTTTCAAAGCCGCGTTAAACAAAACTTTCTCACTCATTCTATGCTAATGAGGGAAGTATTACATAAACGTGATTCACACGAGTACAGTTTGTAAACTTTGTTTCCATTTGGCTGTGCATAAAAAATCAGCCAACTCATCGCTCTAATCGCGTCTCAAGGTATCGGCGATTTTTTTCAAACACTGTATACTAACATAACGTATAACTAATATGATGTATTGACGATGTTATAAAGCAAATGTTATCGATAAAGTCTCTCACATAGAGACAGTTAATTGATATACAATTGTTCTAGAATGATAGGCAAGTGTCATGTAATCTGACTATAATTTGTTCACATGAAATTGTCTCATTATTGCATGTTAGTGTGTGTTTGAATTCAGCATCTGTCATTTACATCTCATCAAGAAAAAGTATCTCCTAGATATGCTCTAATATGAATATTCGAAATTATGTCAAAAGGCAAACAAGTCGAATGCAAATGATAATTGCCTCGTTATCTATAATCAGACAAGAAAATTAACAAAAACTCTCATCAATTACAATTACCAGTATTTGGTATGAGGTATTTACATAGACAAATAATAAAATAGTTCAGAGTTTAGGTCGATGATGTATGGGCTTTGTCTAAAAAAGCGCTTGATAACAAAGGGTAGCAGATTAGGTGATGCAGGATAGCCCGGAGAGACGCAGGTCTCAGGCGTGTACTACTTTGGTAAAATCCACGAACTAGGGAACGATGCTAACAAACAAGAACCACAATCAGCGCGAATTGGAATCCGAACCCAGGAACACAGGTTCCTGGCTCGTCTCTGCGGTCTCCTGGACAACTGCTTATCCGAGACGCCAGCGCAATAGAAACTGGTAGTACAATGTTATACTGCAATTCAGAATTGTGATAGTGCCAAGAGTTTGAAAAATGTTATACCACCGTGCAAAAGAATTTGTTAGAATACAAGATCGCTGTATTAAACAAATTGGCAGAATGTTATAGCACCAGGCAAAAGAAGTTGGTAAAATGCTATACCACCGTAAAAAAACAGTTGGTATAATGTTATACCACAGTGAAAATATAGTTGTCAGAATGTTATTTTACTGTCTAATGTTATTTCACTGTCTAAAGCAAGTGAATAAAATGCTATACCACCATGTAAAAGAGTTAGTAGAATAATACTACGTTACAAAAGAGGTAAGTAGAATGTTAGTTCACTTTCGAAACAAGTTTATCGAATGTTATTCCATGACACAAAACAATTTGTTAGAATATCATGTCACTGTTGTTATATTATCCATCATCACGTGCGTCCAATGCAAGCATTCAAAAAAGAAAGTAACCTCTAGACCAGTCCTTATCTCCAGTACACACGGCGTGCTGAAAAAACAACTATATCTACTCGGGACAGTGGGTTGAAACCGTTATCAAGGATACAAGTATTTGTCACGTGATAAGAGCAACATCGACATCCAGTCATAACACTGTGTCGACACAATGCATGGGCAGGTGATTACGTGACATGAAAGTTACCAAATGGAGGTCCTGGTTCCACTGCTGCATTACTGTCTGCAAAACGACGACAGTACGTGAAAATAACACTACGTGTATGCAATGCCACAATCGTCGTTAATTCATGTATTATATCAGTTGCATGACCAGAGATGACTTGAATGGCATTTTTCAATGGCAACTTTCCCTTTATGGGAAGTAATATTCCAGCAGCTCCAGCCTTTGGTGTCTAGATTTCATTTGGAGTACAAACGAGCACACTCTTTCTACAAAGATTTGAGAGAGCTTCATACGACTATTGCTCAAAGGTTGTATGACCAGGGTTACAACATTCAAGGCCTTAGTAAAACTTTCTAAACGTTTTATTGTACACTTGTGGAGGACATTTCCAAATTTGACGAATCAGTGACCAAAATGAGTCCCTATTGTAACTTATACTATATGTTCCTGTGTTTGTTCAGGTGAACAGTTGACTTGCCTTTGCATGTGTTTGTGTCGGGTGCCACCGGTGGGCAGGATACGCTCAACTGTTCGCGAACACCTAATATCACCACGATTTGATAGTGATTCTTAAACACATTCTCATGATATAGTCAGAATCGTACAATCGAAATTTCTTATGTTTATGGAAAGGGGTTTGT